GTTGCAAGGTTTTCTAATTCAGACCCTTTAGGAGTAAGCTGGGTTGGAAACAATTTTCTAAGAAATATGAAGGCCTCAAAAGGTCTGATGGCAAGTTACAGGATCAGACATCATCCATACACAGCATACTTCATTATATAATAGCTCAACCTAGGAATCAAACAATGTGGAGCAAGACCTCCATTAAGAGATATGGAAAGCTATACTCTTAATATAGACTACAGAAATATATATATGATGCAAAAGGCTATTATATTGGAGGGTACCTAGAATATTGAAGGGTCAAAAACTGAAACAACAGCCTGGGTAATTAGAGGGCGTAAATTTCATATTATTCCTACCACAAAATTACTTATGTCCCATGTGAGATGAAGGCTCCATTCCTCCTCACTATGGAGCCATGCTGAAGTGACAATTTGTAAAAAGAAAATCAATTTCTTTTTTTCCAGTGACAACACTAAAATACTGCTGAAGAAAAATAGAAGCACTCCTATATCCACAACAAACAATATAAACAATAGAAATCCTGCTGCTCTGAACCAGGATGGACAACCCCCTCTCCATCCCCAATATATTATTTCTAGTTTAAATTATTGCCTATTAAATGGAAATTGTTATTTAAAAGTGTAAGTCTCAGTGGATTTGGGTTAATCTGAGGGGAACACCTGTTGCTGTGAGAGTATGTTGTGTCACAAGCATCTTATTTCATTAACAGAGTTAAAGGAAAAGTAAACAAACAGACAAAACACACAAAACTACAAATAATAGAGATTAAGAGGGTTGCCAACATTACTTGAGACAGAGAAATTGAAGGATACAGATATTAAAATAGTCTGTGGAAATAAAATGGAATTTGAAGAAAAATCCTGAGAGATACCTTAGAGAATGGGGGAAAGCCAGGTGATCGAAAATTTGCAATTGGTAATGATTATAAAAATGCTGTTGCAATTTTGAACTGAATATACAAAGACTTATATCACAGCAGAACTGGGACCTTCTTCCCTCCAAACATGGCTTCTGTGTGGCTGCGTTTGGAGCCTTTTGTTCATTCTGAGCATGCTTTTTTCAGAAAAATGCTGACAAATGGAAGGGAGTTCCAGAGAACAATGAGCTCTTTTCATGGACTAGAGAACTCTGATGAAAGAATAAACAAATATGCATACATTGTCAGATTAAATGAAAACAAGAATGTGCCTAAATACATTTAAAACCAGTCTATAAGTATTGAAGAATATGAACAGCAAGAACCAAAAGAAGTATTCATAAATTTTCCAGAACACTGGAAAAGGAGGAAGCCTATAAGGAAACATCTGTCTGGTTTTACATGCTGGAAAAGAGCTCTTCTGCGCTTCTTCTAAAGTATTATCTTAAAATTTCAGGACTGAAAATTATCTGCAGTGTGGATGAACTACTTGTGAATACACATAGCAACACAGCTCAAGGATGCCTAGCATCAGTTGAGGCACAATAAGTTGTTTTCTACTGCTATTACCTAAGTACATAAAATTAGTCTCATAGCTGGGCTAAAAAGACTTGCACAGAATCATACTAGAGACAGAGGATAAAAAAACAGCTAGAAGGGAGGCAGACGTGACTTTTTTAGAAGTACACTTTTGCAAAAGAAGAAATGTAAAAGTAGAGAAGACAGAAGATAGAAACTGAGCAGAGCACCTGTATACATGAAATTTTTCCTTTCCCTTTTGTACTAACCAACAGCAACAGAGAAAATACATTTCTATCTCAGAAGGATACATACTGATTGATAATAATGCGGCAAGAGTATTTAAATTTTTTCACAAAAGTTAACATATATTATTATCAATGTTATTTAAGAACTATCACTAAAATATTGAGTTCAAAGGAAAAAATGTTTGCACCAAGAAATGCTATATGTAAGTTCTGATCTCTGTCCTGCAACAAAGACTTTTAAATCAACAAGCAGACTGTACATGCAGTTCCAGCAGAGACTTAAAGACTATCTCCAGAAATTATATGTAAAATAAGACTGGAAAAAAAATTTGGCTGTATCTACAAAATTAAGCCACCGACTGCCATAATAAAGAATTCCAGCATTCACTAATAACATCTATAACACAGTTACTTTCAAATTCAGCCATCCATTGAGTGCATCTGGTTTTTTAAATACCCACATGCATTTCATAATTTCTAGTCATGTAGTCAAGAAAGTGAAGGATATTCACACTGCTTAATTAAACTGACCTTCAACCCTCAAAATGTGAACTGTAGGACTAATTCAAAAGCTTTTCTCCACCCACTGACTAGACCGAGGCTACAAATTTAGGGAACAGAGACAGGTAAGGAAAATCAGATATTGTAAATATACCTAAAATCGGTTATTTCTGGTACAAGAAAAAATGTCATTACACATGATGGAAACAACTGCAATAACCTGGTTCTGATACAGTGTTCAAAAGGCAAAGTGAGTGGGGAAACTACTAATTTTTTTTGAAACTTAATTATACATTTCTGAGGTATCAAGAAGCTATTTTTAGCTACATTATGCTAGGCACTGAATTTCAATTTTATCAATAATTACAAAATTCAATTAACATTAAGTCTTTGGCCTGTAAATACTCTTGGGAACAACCTTTATCGTATATGTACAATAGCAATTATATATCTATACTCAGAAAAGAAAGCAGGAAAACATGCTTTCTAATCCAAATTACAGGAGAATCAGGGAGAAGCAGGATGGAAACATACCAGCTGAAATATGACCCATGGGACCACTCCCCCTAATCTCAGGAAAAATACTAAAACATCTTCCATTATCAGATTGAATTCTTAACAGTTTTAAAATCACATCTTAAAGATGACATCTCAGTAGCACAATGCCATGATCACACCCTTTCATTATCAGTTCAGCAATGACAGCATGCTGGACCAATACCTCACAAAGAAGAGATTAAAACCACTTCCTGCATCAGCTCAACTTTTCCTAAAGGCTTGTTATTGCACATTTCATGTTGACATAACGAATTTTCCATTTTGAATTGGCTTTCTCATTGACCCAAGACATAAATTATGGAAACAAAACTTATGCTTCTTAATAATATGTTTTTGGTATGACTCAAACTGCCAAACTGATTTTCTTCTCTTAAAGCATTTGTTTGAAAGAATGATCTAATAAATGCTATTGTACGAATGACCCTTATCATTGCCACTTTGTAATAAAACCTGGGATTCAATCTCTCCACTGTGATTTAAATTTAGTACTGCAAGTTAATTCAACTTAATTGAGTGAAAAGTGAGTAAATACTCTCCTATGAAAATTCTTTTGTAGTATGGGAATAATTTGACAGTCAGAACACCCGATTCTGTTATGATCAGTCCAAGTCTTGCATATCTGTTACTTTTAAAAACAATGCAGTTTTTCTACAGTGCAAGTTATTAATGATTTTTATATGTGTTTTTATTATATAAAGACATATTAACAACTCAGATTAACTTTCAAAACTCATCAATTCATCAAAACTGATCAAACAAGTCACCCCCCACCTGTCTTCATTAGTTTCAGTAACAGCAATGCAGTGTAAGGAAAATACTAGGTGTTTATGGGCATAGTTCTCATTTGTTTATTTCTTGTTCCAAATGCTGCTTGAGAATCTGTGGCTAATTTTTGGCACTGGTTGCAATGCTTTCTCTGGCAGTACTGCCTAGGCTCGTCCCTGCACAAAGGAAAACTGAAGAAGAAATTCAGTCATCCTTCTACACAGTCTTCTTAATACAACCATCAAAATCATTTAGTTTGTAAGCAAGATACAAACTTAACCTATGCACTTTTCACTTTTCGTGGCTTTAGCACAGTGAATAATCTGCAAAACCAGTTTCAATAGCTAGCACACTGCGGTCATCTTACACTGTTCCCATATTCTGACAAAGAGACCCCAAAGTTTTAGTTACTCAAGACTTCTAGTATATAATCTAAAAACATCAGAAGTAATGAACAGGAGCATTTTGGTTACATGTTTCTTTAGTCACAGAAATGTTATACAATAAATTAAAAAATGTTCATAGATTCCTAATGGGAAAAAAGTTAAACTGCAGCTATGTGACAGAACACATTTGTAAGTAAAAAGCATTGTAGATGTGCTATAAAGAACTCAAATCAATTCCAACATGAAAGTCTAAGCAACTGAAAACTTATATGAGTACTTAAGAGAAACCTAGATCTGTTACATTATGCAAATAAACACTTCAGGCACTCAATTCTGCCCTTTAGTGAACGTAAGCAAATCAAATAAAGTATGTAATTTTAAAAGTTCATATTCATCTAATTTGGAACCATAAATATCAAAATACTTCAATCACAATCACACAGTAATTTCATATGACAACTCATAGCCATGAGGTCATTAGGTTAAATGTCCCTTTTTTCCTCTTTACTTCAGCTCTGTATAAGTGGAATGTAACCAGATTTCCTGTGCAACATTTACTGGTGCAGGTTGTCTCCATCTCTCTGCCTGTTTAGGTTTTTCTGACAATGTGGTATCAAGCAGATCAATAGTAGCTTTGCATGGAATTTTTTTCCCTTACTATCTGTGTCTCACACTCCAACCTACAATGCAGTAGTTGTCAATGCAGTATTCTGCAAGGGAGAATTAAAGGATCTCTCTTATCCCACTTCTCCTTGTGGACATAACAAGATTTTGCTCAGCAGTGTTGTACTGCAGTGCTAAGGAAAATTACGCCAAAAAGCCATCAGAATTTTGTTTCTTAAGGGGACTAGAAAACCATTATGCTATACCACATTTTAGTTTGAAAATTGTTTTGGGTCAGAACCCAAGGTCAGAGTTATTTTTTATGCTATACTCTCTATTGCTTTTTTCTGTTTCCAAGTTGTGTATCCCTTGACCTGTCCATAGATACTGCAAAGTGAAGTTACAGAGGAAAGCAAAAAAAAATCCGCCCCCCGCCCCCTCCAGAGTCATACATTTCTACACCAAAGGGCAGATTTTTCTATTCCAGGACTATCTCACCTCTGGAGTGACATCTCGTGGTGCAAACCCTGTTCCTCCAGTTGTTAAAATCAAATTAAGTTCCTTTTCATCACACCAATCTATCAGCGTCTCCTGAAAGAGAACATGAATCCTGTCAGATCTAGCAAGCAGTATGTGGGATGCAGTTATCTCAGAAAATACCCAAAGACTTGAAATGTCTTAAAAACAGAGGCACACACAATAAATACAGGGAACTGTAAAATCACTCATGCTTTTTACACAAACATTTTAAACCACTATTTATAACCAAGATAAGACAGAATAATGCCAGTATCCACACAGTATTTTTTTTTGGAAATGGAAATTGAAATTCTGTTTTCCATCTCTTGACCTGAAATGGAAAACAAGAATTCACAGTTACTAATTTCTATTACTGTTTATTTTGATATATAAATATAATATCCTTTGACACATGCTAATAGAGTACGTGCATTTAATTCAGATTACATTGTTGATTCTTGTCACAGTAACTTTGGTTTCCATGCTGCACTTTTTATTACCCTGAAAAAAGCAAGAACCACATATTTGTAAGCTTATCTACCACAAGATGCACCTGATGCAGCAACACAAAAAGATGATCTATAATCACCTTTTCTACATTCCCTCCACCATCTCAACAGGAGTGTGTATACGCATTCCAAGGCTGGACTAAAAAATCTGTCACGTAAAATGACTTGCAATACTGGATAACTCACGATACTAGAGAACTGTTTAATTTTATTTGCATTCATTTTTCAAATGACTTCTTAAACAAATTTTCAAGCTGTGATAAAAATTTGACATAAGCAGAAAATGTATTTAATCTCAGTGTGATTATATCACTTATCCTTCATACTCTACTGTGTGCTAGCACAGCATATCTGCTTGGAGCGCAAAATTAGCTGTGTTGCCTGAAGTACACTCACGTATTACACAGTAAAGTATCCATCTGCACAAATCAGATCAATTACTTAGAGAGCTATCCTTCTTACAGCAAAGAAACATCATTCTTTGAAAAAGTTTATGGCACATTTAAGTTTCTGCAGTACTATATTGGGGAGTAATGAATAATATTGGTGACTGTTGGCTTGAAGCTTCTTGTTTATCATAAAATTAGCTCTAAGAAATATACTGATATTAAAAGCTTGAAATAAAACTGTCCAGAACATTTTAAAAAGTATTACCAATTTAGATTAATCCTCAGCTGTATTTTCTGCGAGGTTAGCACTGCTATGTAACTTCCATTTAACAGAAGGCTCATATACAGACGCTTCCAAATTGCAGCTAGAATACACTTGTGTCTGCCTGCAAGCCCCATCATGCAAAAGTATCCAAGGATTACTTGAAGAAGTGGCAAAGCCAAAGGTTCTGTGTTTATTTCTCCTTTCTTTACACATCCTTCCACTTTCTCTTTTGCGTTCTCTTTTGTCTTTGTTAAAATCCCATTCATCTTTTTACTCTATCCCTTTGGAGGATGGCACTCTAACGGGGTTGTAGATTACCAGAAGTTCATTACATGAACATTTCAAATAAGAGATAAGGTCTCAATTGAATAATTGAACCACTAAGTTAGGCTTTTAACTTACATTTTGAAAAACATGTGAATTATGGTAGTAAAAAGCATTTTAAGTCTTAAAACTGTTTGTTTCAAGAACATAGGTATACATCAGAAAATTTATTTTAAAGAGGTTGCATCTTCTCTGTTTATCATCTAGAAATGTATTTGTCTTGACTTCAAACAGGTAGAAATTTCAGAGAATACTTCAGAGAAGTTCACTGTTCGGCAAAGTTAGACTTTATTATTGCATGTATTTTAAAAATTATTACAATCAGGAAAAAATTCTCAGTATGAAACAGGAGGGATATATTTTGGCTGTTTTGGTTTTTTTAATGAAGCATTTATCTTTATCTAAAATAAAACCTGCCAAACTCCAACTGTTTTTACAGAGAAAATAAAAAAAAAAACCTTCCTCTGTTCTCATTTTGCTACAGTTCAGTAATACTCTGGTTAATAAGGAGGAAGAGAGTAATGTGACACCCTACAATAAACTAAAGAAATCAGCACCCTAACTCTTTAACTAACTGAGCAACAAGTGCCTTTTCTTGCTACTCCATCACTGTACTCAGGCAGACAGAATTCTCTATCAAGTTCATGTTATAGTCCAGCATCTTTCAGCCTTTCAGGAAGAATACCTTTCACTATAAGGGAGTTAGTTTGGGTTTCATTATATTTTAGAAGCGCAAATTTATAACTTAAGATATTTCAAAACCACAGAAAAATACCTGAGACTGATATTCAGCTTATTTACTTTCTCTCTAGTCCACAAAACTCTGTCCCACAAAATATTCTTACTGATGTTTTAAGTATTTAAAAAAGGAAGCCCCACACAATTGTGGACAAATAGTGGACTCATATTCACTTTGCTGCTGATGGCAGCCCAGATAGATTCTCCACTGGCTTTGCAGAGAACTGAATTTTCTGTGTCCTCAAATGAGAATTTCTCTACGCCAGTGACCTGATATTTGGCTTCACTGATGCTATACAAGTAAAATTATTATATAACATCTCAACCAAAGAAAAATTAATTTAATATTTTTTATGCATATTTCCATCCCTTCTATTGTTTCACTGATGATAAGCTTTCAAGAGAAAATGAGTCTAGGTCAACAGATTATGTAAATCACTGTCATTTCATTCAAGTCAATGGAATGAAGCTGATGGATACAAAATATGGTATCTGGCTCTGAAAACAGTACTGTAAAATTACCACCAAATCTTAAAAAGCCAGAACAAAACTACAGACCTCCAGAAGAAAAACCTTGCCTCATTCTTTCTCTGAGTTCTTAGTCTTTCACATGTAAATTTATTGATTTTAAGACCAGTAAAGACCATTTCCTCATGGAAAAAATGCCCTACAGTGTATGTCACAGTGCAGAGACCCTATGTTTATCACAGATACATGCTTCCAAATTCATATAGGCACTGTCACACTAAATCCAAATTCTTCTGGCACCACATCTAAACTTGTGCTACCTGACATTTCAGTCACTGAATACCTAGAACACTTACAGACATATTTCCTTCTGCACAGGTAACTTAAGCATCTCAATGTCCAAGATGCAAAACTACCTTTAGTCTAAAAGGCAATGGGCATGTCACAGAATTCTGGTCAGTTCCTCTCGTATTTAGAACAAATTCTAGGACTCAGGCTCTTCAATTAACCACCCAGCCTTGATCTGGAGGGTTCAAGAGAGAAAAAATACATAATAATTTAATTTGGTAGGGTTTTCCAGGGTTTTAATTCATGATTATCTTGAATATTGTTGTGTTTCTAGTAACTCTTCCTTACTAATAATTTCTGTGGGATAATGTTCCACCATGATACATAAGAAACCTGCTCACAGAATGCACAATAACAGTGGTGCTATTTTGTAACTCCATTAATGAACTATCCTCTAATTTCTATTAGTAAGTGAACAGGAAAAACAAACAGGGATTCCTTACTGAAATGAAAGGAACAATTCCCTGATCTTTGGAGATAACTGAAGTTCATAGATTACTTACATTAGTAAATTTTTGGAGTCTCATACAATAAAACCTTATTATAGTAATGGACACTCTACATTTATGTCCTTGATTGTTACTTCACTTAAATAATGGAGTAGAGCAGTTGTATATGTGTATGAATTATTTCCTTCTCAGATGGACAGAGGTCACACATTCATTGACACGATATCATAAACCATGGTGTTAGTCACAAATTTAAACTTGAGACAGGTTGCAAGACTGCTCCAGTTCTCTTACTGCTACTGTATGGTGGTCTTCCACATAGATATTGAGACTATAACCCTTATCTGGAGCAGAAGTACTACAAAGCACACAAAAATGGTCATTGGTGATCAGACTAAATGCCTGCACAGAAGAGCTGAGGTCCTGAGGGCTGTTCCTTTTCTTTGATGCTACAGTCCATGGTGTTTCTTGTCTTTTTTTTTCTGTCCTATTTTTGCCATCACTTTGCTGAGAGTGTGACAACACTCCCACGTGTTTATGCTTCCAAAATTACTAGAATACATTCTTTCACGTCAATATTCTGGTGCTTATCATTAGATGCTATATGCTACATGTATAACTTTTTCTTATCAATACGTAATTTACTTCACAATACAAGGATTTTAAAAATAATTATCAATACATATGCATATTTTCATACACTTTAGCCACTAGAATTAGACATGTGCACCATTACAATTTAAAACATCCAGAAAGAACACGGGAATGCTAAAAACAATATGAACATGTGGGTTTCCATAAAGAATCCATACAGAATTCTTTCATTCTATATTCAGTATTCAAATTGGTTAAGCAATTCCATAGTTAATGAAGATGTCTGGTATTTTGGCACATGCTAAATTTTTCTAGCACAGTGCAAATTTGAAGTTATTTCACCTTATATGTAAAACTAATTACACACTAAGGACCATTTAAAATATGCAAAAACTTAAATGAAATTGCTGAACAAATATCAATGTTAAGTATGAAGTTTAATTATGAAACACTACACATTTATTTACATTGGACTTCGAAACACAAGTAAATTAGTACAAGCTGGTTTACAGACATGCACACTATCCAGAAGTTCTCGAAACAACTTCAAGTGACTTAAAAGATCATTGTGGTTTCCAGGAAAAAATTACTAATAGTGTTTAGAGACACAGAAGTCTGTGTTCTCCAGAACAGTCTCAAAACTACAAGCTTTGTAAAGTTATGTAAATTCTATATTTGCAAGTAAATCCTGTTTACTCTAAGAAAGTATATTTCAAAATGCAAGGATGAACATAGAACAATATGTTCCTAAAACTATAATGATAACTTTCCTTAGAAATCCAAGTTGAATAAGAAAAATTCTTATATAAAAAGCCATACTAAATATCAATTTAATTTTCTTTCAAAATTTTTAGGCTCAAGCTAGAAGAGTGTCCGAGATAAATTTAATTTAGGATGATTTAATATCATTATGATGAAAAAAATTATAATGAATGACTATACAGAAAAATGTATCAAAAAAGAGAAAGTCTGCATAGTCACACATTTG